ATATACATACCCATATGTATGTGGGTTGGTACATTTGTTCTTCTTCATTTTTTTCACCCAGATTGGGTTATTTTTGACTCCGTTTTGTCTGTCAACTCCGCTTCTAAACTCTCAGGTTTGCCGACTTATTGACGTAAACCTTCATCTCAGGTGACGTGTTTGCGTTGAAGAATGCAAAGTGAACTTTTTCTTTATCAGTCTGCAGTAGTGTGAGGAGTCCTATCAGCTGCTCTTGAGCCTCTAAATAAACACACGGATTTAAAGGTGTGTGTGTGTTGGGGAGAGTGGGGGTGGTCACCAAAGTCTTCAGATGTTCTGCTCCCCTGCAGCCACTGCGGGCGGTGTGTGCAAAGTCATTAAATGTAAAAAGATCATTTGGTCGGACTGGCTGAGAAAATCAGGAATCATGACACTGAAGAGTGAGATGTGATTTTTTTTTTTCTGACAAAGACCCGAAAAGGCGATCCAAATGTCACTGGAGACAATTTCGTTCTGTTGATTCAAACTTTCTTCAAAGGAAAGGGCCAACTCCTTGTGTTTATTTGCCATTAGTTAGCCATCTTTGTATCTGTGTAGATATACGTTGATATTTGTTTGTTTGTATTTTGGGCTGGGCAACTGCGGTCCTCAAGGCCCAGTATCGATGTTGGATTCAAATGAGCAGTTCATCAACAAGCTCTGCAGATGCCTGACAACGATCCTCCTCATTTGAATCAGGTGCATGTCTTGGAGGAGAGAAACATCTTAAGCAGGCAGGAAAGTGGCCCTCTGGGGCCAGAGTTGACCACCTCTGACCTAAAGAGGAAATTTGGAACACAAAAACGTTTCCTCTTGATAGTTGTGTTTTATTTGATTTGCATCTCTCATCAATTTAAATGTTTTTAATCAGTTTGGATTTGAAAAACAAAAACAAAAAAAAGAGTTATCATCAGGACTAACATGAAATACGTCCATTGTGATTTGCCCAGCCCCACTACACACAACGCATTGTTTAAAAATACGTTTATTTGATCGTTAAATTGACCACTTCATTCGACGTTTTCATTTTAATTTCATTAGAAGAGTACAATATTTTATATATATATATATATATATATATATATATATATATATATATATATATATATATATATATATAGAGAGAGAGAGAGAGAGAGAGAGAGAGAGAGAGAGAGAGAGAGAGCTGCTTGACAGGTCACCGCACAGTTACCGCCGTAATCAATCGATTGATCGGTTTTCGGCTTCAAGACTTGAGCCCCAGTCGAACCTTCCTCTCAAATTTGCCCGGTTGTGTCTGTCATGGTGTGGTACTCGGCTGCCCCCGTGTGGTCAGAGTGCCACAATGCATCATAATCACATATTGGCCGCCCGAACGACGTTTCGAACCGCCTCAGAGTCGTAATTCAGTGTACCTGGACATACAGATACACGAAAGGGTGTGTGTTTGTGACGCAACCGTACTGTATTTTAAATAACGTTTAGAAAACTCATATAGACCCGCACATTTCTTTATCCGCGTTATTCACTCATTCACTTTACTTATTGAGGGCTCCGTCCTTTTAGCAATTACCCACAATGCACTACCGGCGGCCATATTGGAGGGCTGTTTTAAACAAGCCATACCCGAAGTCACGTCGTGCTCACGCAGGTATGTATCATCAGTTTTGTTTTTTTTTATCAACAAGCAAATTGAAAAAAATGATTCATCAGTTTGCGCGCACACTCTCCCACTTGGCCTTTTTGCTGTAGATGACTTTGGGCGGCTTGCCACGAGAGCTGTTCAACCGCTGCCCGTCTTGGATTGAGTGGCAAGGCAGCCTCGGATCGAATGAAATGCTGCCATCTTTTGGCTTCGGAATGTGCGCGCAACGACAGCAGCGTCATCCAGACTGATTTTCACTCATTGGTTTTTCACGTGGACAGCGTAGGTGTAAAAGAAACCACACATTTCTTGCTGCAGGGTTATGTTTAGGGGGCCACGGCAAGAATGAAACCTTCTCGCTGGGAAGTTGGAATCTATCCAAGCTTAATTTAAAGGGCCAAAGATCGGCTACACCTTGGACTAAACACGAATTCATCACAAAAACTTTATCCATCCATCCATCCGTTTATTTTCTCTGCTTATCTGGGGTCGGATCGCGGTGGCAGTATAGCTTTAGTAGGGACCCCCTCCCCAGCCACTCCGTCCAGCTCTTCAGGGGTAATCCTGACGGGTTTCCCGGGCCAGGCAGCCAGCCAGGGGTTCGTAGTTTTTAGTGGATAGCTCTACTTTACGAACGGTTAAAGGAGAGATGGAATTCTTTGAATAGAGTTTTATTGAGAAGGAAAAAAAGACACCGCAGCAAGTTCGAGAGCGCAACTCTTTCTTCTGCTATTAAAACACTTCCTGTTTCCTTCAGCCAATCAGACGCTCTCAACATGAATAATTTTAAGAAATTATCAAAGAGAAGATAATTTAGGTAACTTTAACATCTAAGACAATACTGTAATGTTCAAACATAAAATGATAATAATGAACAATTTAACAAAAGTTTACACATTCGTGGATTGTTCGACGTTATGAACAGAATCGGTTACCAAGGGCAGCCTAGACAGAGTCCAACCTTCACTGGAATAAATCCGATTTATTGCCGCTAATGCAGACTAAACTATGACAAAGATCGTACGTGGACCATACAACTCGTATAAGTGGGTTCAGTACGCCATACTCATGTTTTCAATGCACAGTAAAAATAAATGTTCGTGATGTAACAGGTTTTGCATTGAGGTTGTGGGATTTCACTGCCAAAATGACGACGTAAACCCAATTTTGACTACTTCTTTGACAACGGTAAAGTTCAGTGAGAGGGGTCTGGTTTCATTTCAGTAAAAATACATTTAAGCTGTATTCAGTTTGTCGTAGGTTTGAAAAAGCGCGGTGTCCGTCCTCGCTGTGAATGCATCTCATTTCTCACAAGTAATCATCGTAATATTAGCTGCATGAACCGTCGAAGAGCAGGACGAGTTAACATAAAGAGAAATGAGACGCCTCGTCGTAAAGAAGCGCACGTTTCAGCAGCGTGACGTCATTTCGAAAGTGGCCGCTAAGTGGCGTAATACTCCACTCTATGTCGACATCCGAGCTGGCCTTCCAGCATTCTGGTCAAGTACAACTTCTCACCTCCAAGGCGCCACTTCTTGGTTTCTTGTTCAACGCAGTGAAAGAATCGCGGCCTCGGCAATGAATTACCGTTTGGTACCTTTATGTAAAAAGCCGTTTCCTTCCTCGTTTCCCATCGCCGCGATGAAAACAGGAAGCCGCGTCCCGAAGTTGTCCCCCCCTGCAGAAAGATCACCGAGGCACGAGTGACACTTTTCACGTTCAGGCTGGAGGGAGGCCGCCACTTCAGTTGCCACGAGCTCACGTCAACAGTGTGCAATGTCCTGGCCAGATCAGCGAGCAGAATTGATTGGTGTTTGTGACATGGGCCAGCTCCTTCTGAGTCGTTCTTCCCCCGCCATCTTAAAACACTCGAGACGCGGCGAGCTGTTGTTTTATTTGTACATGTCGCTGACGTCGGGACAGAACCGGGATCCTTTGTCACTATTTGGTAAATTTCAGATGTGTTTTTCCCCCACAAATGCATTTGGGCATTCCACAAACGGGTGTCTTCGTACAAATTAATCTAAAGTGTTGAAAATGTCTTGCGGTCTTAGACGATGCAATGTAGTTTGTGGCATTTGAGGAGGTGTATGTGTGTGTGTGTGGGGGGGGGGTCTCATGAAAAGTGAGCAGTTGAGATACAAAGATATCCTTCAAAATGGATAAAATGTAATACTGACTTAGTTTTGGAGTTCGTTTTTTAATTTCACAGTGCAACATTGGGGTCTTTTCTCCCATTTGGGCAAACGTATGAAGTGCAGCACATTCAAATATTCAACTATCAATTTATCGATAGATAGATGGATGTAGCTAGCTAACAGAATATAATGTGAAAAAAAAATTGTCACCTCATAATGAAATGGTCTACAATGTGAAACCAACCAGACAGCTCAACTCTCAATCTAGTTTTTCACATAAAGGATATTGAACGAAGTGTGTTTGTGTCCTGCAGTCTCTGTTGTAAGAAATCCAGAGCAAAGTGTGTCAGATGCGACACGTCTCTCAGAAAAGACTTCCATGCGGCAGCTCCAATGTAACAGCTTTATTGAAACGTCTTACAAGAGACGACTTTGGACAATGGCGATACAATAAGTGCAATGTTTGTAGCAGTTCATAATACAGCATCCGTGTGCAGGATAAAATAGATTTACTATATTGAGCAAATGTCGAGCATGATCACAAAGAGGCGTGTGTTGCTTTTTTTTTAAGGCCACGAAAGTTTCTTCCTCCGTTTTTTTGTTTGTTTGTTTTTTTTTAGGCCTCGAAGGTTTCTTCCTCCGTTTTCCTTCAATGCGTATTTGGTCAGGTCCGCAGAGAGGCAGCTCGTGAATGTCGCCGTCTCGATGCACGCGCACCGAATTCTCCATCCGATCCAAAACGAGTCCTTTGGGGACGACGTGACGGTCACATGACGCACGGTTTGATGTCCTGACACACGCTCTGAGGATGGGGGTGAGGATGGTGGTGATGATGATGATGGTGGTGGTAGTAGGAAGTGCCGGCCGTCGGGTGGAAGGACGAGATGCCGTTCAAGTTGAACACAAAATCTTTCCGGTCGCAGTGGCTCTGATACCGCGGAATCCCCACTGTGGCAGAGAGGCAACGTCAAATGTCTTTCTTTTTTTTTTTCATTTTCAAAACTTATCTCTAAACAGTACGGTACACCCTTAAAACTGCCCAGTAAAAAAAAAAAAAAACGGACAATATCAATTTCACCCAACTTGGAGTTGATATGTTTCAAAACATATCAATTTTTAGTACCCCCCAAAAATT